ATCCTCGGAAACTTCCTGAGCTGTAAAACCAGTCAAGCGTCCATCCTGCTCACCTTGGTTCCTCGTGCCTCTCCTCCCTCCTCTCCCTCCCCTCCCTCCTTGCTCCCTTCTGCCCCCTCCTCCTCTCCCTCTCTCCTTCGAAATGCTTCCGTCACAACAACTACGCACTCCTGCTGCTCCTGCTCCTTTTCCCGCCCCTGCCCTCCCCCTGCGCTGTTTGCTGTTGCTCCTATTGCTCCTGCGCAGGCTGCCGATGCCGCTGCTCCTCTTCATCCTTACCTGCTCTCCTCCAGGGACCAGGATCCCCGCATGACCGCTTCCTCCTCGCTTGCCTGCATGTTTGTTATTACGCTCGTACCGCGAAGAGGAGAGGAGATAACAAGATTCAAAAAGCCATTGACCACCTGAGAGAATGGTCAGGTCACAGAGCACGAGGCAATGGAGGAGAACGAGGACGAGGGGGAAGAGGAGGGGAAGGAGGAGGAAGTGGTGGGGAAGGAGGAGGAGGAGGAGGAGGAGGAGGAGGAGGAATTCTTTACCAGTGGAGACGAGTCGCTCCAGTTGTAGAAGCCCTTTCTAATGTTGACCGCCTAGAAGACGATGATGAGGAGGAGGGCAGAGGAAGAGAGGCAAGAGGAAAATAAAGAGGGGGAGAGGAACAAGCCCGGGAGGAAGAGTGAGGGGCAAGAGGGGAGAGACGGAGAGACGGAGGGAGAGGGGAGGAGGGGAGGGGAGGGGAGAGGGCAAGAACCTTGTGCGAAGAGAGAGATCGTAAGACTGCTTCCTGCACAGACTGAAGCTCATCGGGCACCTGCAGGTATGAAAATAAAGAGCAGAAGGGGAAGGGAGCAGGAGGAAGGAGAGGATGAAAATCTGACATCATGGAAAGTGTAATGGAAAAAGAAGAGAGAAGGAGGAGCAGTGGAGAAGAGGTGGGGGGAGGGAGAGGAGGGGCGGGACTGGAGAGGTAGGGGGAGACTGGAAGACATGGGAGGGGAGAGGCAAGGGGAGGGGAGGGGAGGAGGAGAAGCTGGTCTAGTCAACCAGGATGATGAAGTTCTTGATGAGATTCTGGTAGAAGGTGATCTGATCGTCGAGCTCTCCTCTCGTCTTCGTCCTCATTCTCCTCTCCTCCTCCAGCTGCTCCCGCAGGTAGCCCTTCTCATCCTCCAACTGCCTCGTCTCATCCTCAAGGGATCGCAGCTTCCTACTGACAGCTCAACACGCCTGACTTCAAGGCAGGAACTTCCCCAGCACCTGTACAGCGACATATCTGTTGCTGCCGCCGACGGCGACAGCGTCTTGGAGTTCTCCACCAACATCAACTTCTCCCTCATCTGCTCCAACTCCTTCTTGGCAGATGTCAACTGCCAGGTCAAGTCAAACCGCCGGCGCGTCGGAGGCGGTCGAAGATGATACTTCACCTCATCAGCCTGGTTGCTGGACGTGTTCGTGTACTGCAGCTTCACGGCCCTGCCCACACCACTCAGGCAAGTGCGACAGCCAGCAGCAGGAAAGACCTGAGCTCCGCGTCCCGGGACTCGAGTTGATAGCGGAGGTTCTCCACGTCGTTCTAGGGAAATGGTGAGAGAGAGGAGAGAAAATGCGGAGAATGAGAAGATATTGAGCATGGTGAAAGGGAGGAGGAGGAGGGGGAGGAGGAGGAGGAGGAGGAGGAGGGTGGCAAGGAAACAGAAACGAGAAGGGGAGGGGGGGGGAGGGAAGGGATTGCACAGTTCCAAGCACCTGGAGCAACAGGATGCTCTTGCCCATCTCAGAATCTTGTTCAGCTCGCTGCCTTTGCAGACCTTCTTCCCTGCTGCCCCTGTTCTTCTTCTTGCTCTTGTCCCTGCCGCAGACCCCCGGGGTGAGGAGCAGAGATCGCAGAGCACGTCACCTGACCTCGAGTACAAGGAGCTAGAGTCTTCCTCCCACTGCCAGCAACATCGCATGTCATCGAGAGAGGCAAGCTCAGCATGAAGACGTCAGGAGGGTCGCACCTGACGGTTCCTCGCCTCCATCTCCATGAAGATCTGATACTCCATCTGCACTTGCGCGAACTTCACCTGCCGCGCCGCTATCAGCTCTCAATCCCCACACTCGACGCCACGTCACCTCCATCTGCCGTTGGATGTCTGACATCCTGCCAAGGAGCTGGAGTTTCAGAGCACCGCGAGAGAAACCACATATAAAACAAACATGGACTACATCTGAACAATCATGAACACATCTAGAATCGGGTACATCCGAACAAACACCAGCGCAACAAACGTCAGCTCCATCCACTACATGTTAAGCTTGACCATCACGTTCTGTGGGGAGCATGGAGAGCAACAACCTGTGCAGCTCTCGCTCGAGCCTTTTGTTCTTCTCCTCTGCATCGCACAGCCTGTTCGAGCACCATCAGCTTGTCGGACAGTGAGCTCAAGTGAGAGGTAAAGCAGAGACGTGCTCAATCAACACAACAGACTAACACTACGTGGCAGGTGATGTTGACTGTCAGCACGACATCGGACGTGCATGTCAAACCTGTGCTGTAATGACTCCTTGTCCTCGCTCACACGCTCGAGCTAGTGGAAACGAGTTAGAGCAAAACACTACATGTGGAGCTGAAGTGGAAGAAGAGGGAAGAGGGAGAGACAGTGGAGGAGGTAGAGAAACAAGGACGAGGAGGACAATGGAAGGGGAGGGAGGGGAGGAGAAGACAACAAACCTGAGCATTCATCGCCTCAAACTCTTCATCCGTGTACTTGTTGCCCTGTCTCTATCATCACCCGAGGAGCGTACATCATCCCAGCTCACTTGAGTGGTTTGATTGAGATGGTAGTCTGCCATATTCTCCTCAAGGCTGAAACACGATGTCAGCGGGCAAACCCCCAACGAGGATCGATACCTTCCGTCTACTTTGGTGTCTTGCTTATCAGCTTGTTCGTGGCTCCCTGCTGACAGGTTTCAACTTGATACACCATGGTAGGCGGGGAAGAGCAGAAGGAAAGTAAGAGGGAAAGGGAAGAAAGAGGGATGGAGGGATAGATGGAAAGAGGTGAGGAGGGGGGAGGGAACGAGGGGGGAAGGGAGAGCGTCACCATGAGACTCATCAGCAACTTGCAAACTCCTTCTGAGATCAGCGCACGCTTGCTCGACCGCCGCAGCTATCTCCACCCGCTTCTCGTTCTCGAGCTCCTCCAGCGCCTCCTGCAGCTCGTTGCACTCGTTCTTCTTCGTCTCCAGCTCCCTCGACAGCATCTCCATGTTGGAGCAGTCGCTCCTGGCAGCGTCGAGCTCCCTCTCGAGGAACGCGATCCTCCTCGCCGAGATCTCCTGAGAGTCGTTGTGCCCTTTCTGCACCTCCCGCATAAGGCTCATGCTGTTCTCGTAGATCTCTGCCTTCATCTTCACGTACCTCTCCTCCCTCTCCCTCTCCAGGGCCTCGCATCGCTCCTGCGATCGCTTCAGCTTCTTCCTCAGCTCCGACATCTCTCTCTCCGCCACGTCCAGAGATCTGCGGAGCACCGAGGCGCCGCCATCGGGGTCGTTGAGACTCCTGTCGACAGCTGAGCATCCTGCCGGAGAGGAGAAGGAGAAGTCGCCGGGCAGCGCTGGAGACTGATCCGACATCCTGGTCATGCTCATGTGCTCGCCATCTTGGATCCCTTCCATCTCCTCTTCCCCCGCTTCCACCGAATTCGTGCCCATGCGCTGGCCCTCAGTCTGCAGCATGGAACTCCATGAACAAGGCTCCTCCAGCGCTGTCCCTTGTGTCTAGCAGTTCATCTCCTCTTCCTCTCATCTCCTGCTCCTCGGCCTCCCCTCCTCTTCCTCCCTCTTCCTCCCTCCTTCCTCCTTGACTGTCGATCTCTCCGAAAGCCACGACAGCATTGCAATACTCAGCCCTCGTCCCCGCTCATTCCACCTCCCTCTCTGCCAGGTCCGCCCCAGAGATGCATGGGGCCCAAAGCAGGGTCATAGTGGGGATGCGGGGTAGTTGTCCTTATGTGTGAGGCAGAGGATGGCAGGGGCGGGGAACGGGGGAGGGGGGGGGGGGAGGGACGGGAGGGGGGGAGGGGGGAGGGGGGAGGGAGGGGGGCGGGGTGGCGGGGGCGGGTGCAAGAGAGAAGGGAGAGGTGTATCCCGCATGGGAGAGGAAAGAACAGAAGCGATGTGATCTGTGGTATAATTGTGAGGACATGAATGCGGGAGGCATTTCTCCACTGAGCTTTCAGGGTACATGTACGTCAAGGCATCGTATCAGCGATAGAATCAGGAAGGAGAGATCATTCCTAGCATCCAGTTGCATGATAGTAGTTTGAAATGTTTGTTGTCTTCCTGACTTCTGGCCGTCAGTTCGCACATCGACCCAAATCCCCTCCATCAGGCCATGTCAGCACCGGACTGATTTCTATTCGACGAGAACTCTGATATCCTCTACGAACTAGCGCACCAGGAGCGGTCAACTCAGCGTGTTTGGCATGACGAAGGAGGTGGACAGCATGCCGATGAAAGCATCCTTCACCAGAGCTGCTCGATCCGTCAGGATGGCTTGCCTTTCCCTTGCCCTCTTGCTTTGCGTCAGCAGCGCCAATGCCTTACATCACATGTCCTTGGACTCGCCCAAGAAAGCAAACTCTCTCTCAAAGTCCGCCACCTCTAGCCCAGCGAAAGCTCAGCTGAAGAGGAAGGAGCATCTCACTGCCTTTGCCCCTCCTGCTGTCAACTCCAACAACACCAGACTGTCGGGGGGCAACGGGAGCAGTTCAGATCTACAGCAGGGGGCGGAGGAGCACAAGAAGATTCGGCTGGCAAGGAAGACATGGTTGTCAGGAAGTACCTTCTCCTACATGTATCCCCTCATCAAGGCCGGCTATGACCACCCCCTGGAGGAACAGGAGCTGCCGCCGTTTCCTGAGGAGGACAAGGCCGAGGTCCATGGACTTGCCTTGGAGCGCGCGTTGAAGGAAGACCCATCCTCTTGCTCGGCCAACACCACCGAGGAGCTGGAGATGAGGGAGTTCCTGCGCAACTGCTCGGAGAGCATGGCGCCGACGCTCCTGTCTGCCTCCTGGAGGGTCTTCAAGGTACCCTTTATGTGTGGGGGGCTGTGGAAGCTACCCCACGACCTCCTTGCCTTCCTCTCTCCCTTCCTGGTCAAGGCCGTGTACCGCTACGTCGACCCCAAGGGCATGGACCACGTCCCGACATGGCGGGAGGGCATTTTTCTGTGCATGTGCTTCTTCGTGATCCAGTACGCCTCCTCGGTGGCGCTGCATAAGTACTTCGACAAGGTCTTCGACGTCTCCATGCAGATGAGGGGTGCGCTGGTCTCCTGCATCTACAAGAAGTCGCTCAAGTTGTCTTCCTCCTCGCGCCACCAGAAGTCGCTCGGCGAGCTTGTCAACCTCATGTCCGTCGATGTCCAGAGGATCGTCGACCTTGTGCCGTACCTTCACAACCTGGTATGGAGCTCTCCCCTTCAGATCTTGCTCTCCATGATCCTCCTGTACCGCATGGTTGGTGTGGCGTCCCTGGTTGGCCTGCTAGTTATGATCGCGATCATGCCCATCAACGCCTCCATCCTCATCCAGCTTCGCAAACTGCAGGAGAAGAACATGGTGGAGAAGGACAGGAGGGTCAAGCAGGTGTCGGAGATGCTGCACAGCATCAAGGTCATCAAGATGTTTGCGTGGGAGAAGCCTCTGCTGCGCCGCATCGCCGACGTCAGGAAGAAAGAGGTGAAGAGGCTGCGGAGGTATGGCTACATCGCTAGCATGCAGAGCATCTTCTGGAACTCTGCCCCTGTCACCGTCTCCGTGGCGACATTCGGAGCATACGCTGCTCTCGGGCACCCCCTTACCATGCAGGTCGTCCTGCCCGCCCTGAGCATCATCAACATCATGTCCTTCCCCCTCTTCGTCTTCCCCCTCCTCATCTCCTCCATCGTCTCAGGCCGCGTCGCCCTCAACAGGATCAACGAGTTCATGAGCCTTGAGGAGCGGGACCTCTCGCACATTCAGTTTACCTCCTCCCAGGACCTCCTCCCCTTCCAGCTCCAGTCCGCCACCATCGGCTGGAACGCCAGCCGGCCCATCCTCACGGACGTGAACATCAAGATCCCCCGCGGCAGTCTCACGGCCATTGTTGGCCAAGTGGGCAGCGGCAAGTCGACCCTCCTATCTGCACTGCTGGGAGATGCTAAGTGCCTTGAGGGAGAAGTGAGGGCACCCCGAGAGGTCGGCTACGTGCCGCAGCAGGCCTGGATCCAGAACGCCAACATCCGAGACAACATCCTGTTCGGCAAGCCGATGGACGAGAGGAGGTACAGGGAGGTCCTCAAGGCCTGCGCGCTTGAGGCGGACCTGGAAAAATTCCCCAACGGAGACGAGACGGAGATCGGGGAGAGGGGGGTGAACCTGTCGGGAGGTCAGAAGCAGAGGATAGCGCTGGCCCGGGCTGTGTACCAGAACTTCGACTGCCTCCTCCTGGATGACGTCATGAGCGCCCTGGACAGTCACGTGGGCTCGCACGTGCTAGACGACTGCCTCATCCGTCTGCTGCAGGACAAGACAAGAGTTCTGGTCACCCACAAGCTCGACCTGCTGCCGCTGGTGGATTACATTGTCGTGCTCGGGGACGGGAAGGTGCAGGCGCAGGGGACGCTGAGCGAGATCAGGATGCAGGGAGTGGACCTGGAGTCCGTGATCGACAACGTGAGCGAGGATGAGAGCAAGAAGCAGGAGGAGGAGAAGGGAGAGGAGGGTGCGCAGAAGAAGCAGGATGCTGAGGCAACTCCTGCTTCTGCTCCTGCAGCATCGGCGCCGTCGTCTGCTCCTGCGACTCCTGCTGTCGCCTCCTCCTCCACCACCACCTCCTCCTCCTCTGCTGCTGCTGCAAGTGGTGAGGAAGGTCAGAAGTCCAAGGAGGAGAGTACTACAGGGGAGGGAGGAACGTCTGGGTCGTCGGCGATTGCTGGGATGGCAAAGAGATCTCCATCGATGTTCCAGCAGGTGGATGATGATGATGATGATGATGATGATGATGATGATGATGATGATGATGATGATGATGATGATTGGCGTAACCGCGTCTGACTGTTTACGGCTGACGGTCAGGTGACTCCGGAGAGCAAGAAGCAAGGAGCGGTGTCGCACGATGTGTACGCTTTCTACTTCCGAGAGCTCAAGTAAGCTGGGGACAGTTAGGGAGGGAGAGGGGGCTGGGAGGGAGACGGAGAGAGGAGAGGAGGAGAGGCAGAGAGGAGAGGCAGGAGGTTGAGAAGACTCATGAGAGGGGTGGACGGGGTGTTCCTTGTCCTGCCTTGTTTGTCGTGAGTTTGGCTGACTGTTCTGTCGCAGGTTGAAGTACATCGCTATCATATCTGCTGTTGGTATCTTAAGTCAGGTAGACCTGAGCTGAAGCATCTGAGGACTACCTTGCTTTCATTGCCTTGCCTTGCCTTGCCTTGCCTTGCCTTCCCTTCCCTTCCCTTCCCTTCCCTTCCCTTCCCTTCCTTCCCCTCCCCTTCCCTTCCTTTTTCCTGTCCTTTTCTGTTTTCTTTCTTTCCCTTCTCCCTACTCATCTTTTCTTTTCTTCTCTACTCTCTTTCCTTTGCACGCTTCTTCTCTTCAGACCAACCACTGTCTCTCCTCCTCTCTCCCTCCCTCTCCCTCCCTCTCCCTCCCTCTCCTTCCCTCTCCTCTTCTCACGAGCTCGTCTGCTCAGGCGGCAAGGAACGGCAACGACTGGTGGCTGACTAAGTGGGCCTCTGCTGCTGACCGTCACCGAGTCGCCTTCTACCTCGGAGTTTATGCTACCTGGAACTTCGGGTCTGCGGTAAGAGGGAGGGAGAGAAGAAGCACAGAACGATGATGATGATGATCATGATCATCATGATGAATGAGGAGGAGGAGGAGGAGGAGGAGGAGGAGGAGGAGGAGGAGGAGGAGAGAAGCAAAGAACGATTGTGACGGTGAAGATGATGACGATGAGAAAGGGGGGGGGGGGGGGGGGGGAGGAGAGTGACGATCATGATCATGATCATCACAACGACGACGATATTAGACGATGGTAATTTCTTTATTCTTTTGCAGGCTCTCTTTTTGATCAGAGACGTGTCATTGATGCTCATGGAGCTTCGAGCTGCCTCTGTCCTGCACAACAGGAAATTTCTTCTCTTCCCCCATCACGTTTCCTGCTCCCATCCTCTCTCCTTCTCTCCCATCTTCGATCTATTGTGCTCTAAACTTTTCTTCGCTTCCTTGTCCCTTTCTTCCCCCCCCATCCGATTTCCTCTGATCCCTCCTCTCATCATCCCCCTCACCTCCCCTCCCCTCCTCTTTCCTCTCTCCCCCATCTTCTTCCTCTCCGTCTCTGACTTGCTCAAACAGGATGCTTGACTCTGTCATGAAAGCTCCCATGTCATTCTTCGATTCGACTCCCATAGGAAGGATCTTGAACAGGTCCCTCCTTCTGCTCCTGCTCCTGCTTCTGCTCCTCCTCCTCCTCCTCCTCC